ATTCAATACAGAACTAATTGTGATATAAAGATTTAAATGCCAGTATTTGTGTTAACTACTAAGATTGTAGCTGTTTTAAGATGTAAGAAATATTCTCTGAAAGCTTTGAAATACACTCATCATTTGAAATACGCTCATCATCCCAGTTGAAATTTAATCCTATTCCTCCCAAGTTGAGGCCACTTAAAGAGATCTGTGAAGCTAGTAAGATTTTAATTCTTCCTAATCTAACCACAAAACCGTCTTCATAATGTCCTAATTATGCATTTAAACATCCACTTAACTGATTTAAAAACTAACATTGAGTACCTACATCTAATGCAGAGACACTAAGCTTTAACACTGTTCTTTAAAGTACGTCTTTGTCTTATCTGTTCTTTTGAAATGTATGGACATTTATTTCAGTAAAATTAGTTTAGTAGTGTTATGGGAAATAATCTGTTTTCCCACAACAACCACAGATTATAACTATACTGGATAAATAAATCTTGAGTGAGCTGGCAGGCTGAAATCTGTGATTTTCAAATAAAGGCTCCAGTTTACTCGCACGGACATTTTTCTGCGCGGACTCGACGTGCGCGGTCCGCAGAGGGTTGAGACTTCATGCTCGAGTGTCCACCCTGAGCGGCTGCAGTCAGCTCTGCTGGCAAGGGGCGTTTACCTTCGGGACAAATTGAGTTTGCCAATTGGTCATTTGCTGACACGCCTACTGAATTGATTGACAGGTCGCAAAAAAAAACAACAACCGAGAGCTGGCAGCCCCAGTGGTGTTCTGTGTTTATATGTTGTAATACAAAGTTCTAAAAAATAAAAAAACGGGCAGCGCAGGCCCTGCAGCCCACACATCAGACCAGCCCACCCACACATCAGACCAGCCCACCAGATCCTCCCGCAGCCATGCTGGACATGATTTTAATTCGCTCATGACAAATTCCTTCATTTCTCAGCATTTCAGTCATGGACGAGGAGGAAGCGATTGCTTGCCTCTTGGAAAATAAACAAAAGAAAAGGCCATTAAACCAGACCAGGGATGAAGAAGGGGAATTTTTAATACATTGGTGTCGCACACAAAACAGTCCATCGCCGGGCAGTTTATTGTGCGACACCAAGTACGCATACGCAGTCGTAAAAAAATGAGCTTTGCACGGACATGCCCTGCGGGCGTCCGCTTCGACTCTAATCCGGTACGCGTGGACCTCCGCGGACTGACGTACGCCTGAGGATACTGGAGCCTTAAGTCCCACAGACCTGTACCAGCATGGCTCAGTCTTTGTTGTTAATTTTCTTTTACATCCTCTTTTTTTTTTCTGTCTTTTGTTTGCCTCTTCTGTGACCTCAGGCCAGCCTGTTGTCTCATTCACCAGCTTTGTTTTTTGCACCCAATTTTGTCTGGACACCAATGTTCCTTCTGTGGTTTTCTTTGTTTGGAGTTGTTGCTCAATCCCAAAGTCCGGTTAAACTGTGAAATAACCGTTAAATAGTAAATGGACCGTACTTGTATAGAGCCTTTCTATCTAGTCAAGATACTCAAAGCTCTTTACAGCACAATCTGTGCCCTCATTTACCACCACACACACATTCATACAGCACTCTACTACATCTCTACAAAGCCACTTGAACCAATCATTCTAGAGACTAAACAGTGCTTTAGATCACATCCACACACATCGGAGGCCATGAGGGGTTCAGTGTTTTGCTCAGGGACTTTTCAACATGTTGGACACTGATGGAATCGAACCCCCAAATCTCTCATTGAAGGATGACCGCTCTAACCACTCAGCCACAGCTGCCCCGTAAACTTTATACAAACAAGTTATGAGCTCAGTTTTGTGCAGCTGATCATATCAGCCTTTTGTAGGGGTGGTAGATGTAAAATATGCAGTGGCAGATTCAGGTGGAGACTGAAGAGCTTTCTTTTTTGTCACAATAAATATAGTCCGACTGAGATTAAAGGAAAATGGAATGTGTGCAAGATCAACTTATTTTTGGGGGGTCAGTTCAGTAATTTTACATTTCTATACGATTAATTCAGTGTTAAAATACTGTATGCATTTTCACCAGCGTCTGCGGCAAAAGTAACAATGCTTTACCGTGTTGTACTTAAACTAGCAATCCTCAGAGATGCTGTATGTGTATCGCTGGCTGCCTTGTATGCCTAAGGTTCAAACTCAATATTTAGCGTGACCTGTTAGCACTCGGAGTATGTGTTGAGGATGATTCTCAGCTACTACCACACCATATTTGGCTCAAAATCCATATAAAATAAATAAATGAAAGAAAGAGCTAGATCATTTGTTGTGCTTTCTAAGGTAAGATTGCCATTTTGGTTCTGGTTGACTCCAAAGGATGATTAATTAAAAATGTTCATCTAATGAATACTTTTGTCCAAACATGCATGCAGACACAACTAATTACATGTTCACCTGCTTTTCATGGTGGCCAGCAATAAAGCCTCTAAATTACGGGTGCACTCGTATTTCTTTAATTTTGAGAGATCGGAGGCTTTCCCACTTATCAGAAAGTGTTTTTATAGAAAGACGCAGCGAATGTAGCAGCTTCTTGGGCTTGAGTTTGAAAATGAGACAGAAATTGGTTTCTAAATTTGGGATGCAGTGTGCTTTAGCTTTGAACAGTTTTGACATTTCTTTTCATTGAAATGTTTTGTTTTCTTTTGCTTATTTTGCTCTATTATTATTTCACTTTCCACTTCACTTTTTTCCCTTCGTTTTTTGTGTGTAAACTGCTTTGGTTGCATCTAAGAAGTATTTTACTTTACCATTTTCTTCTGGTTATGTTGTTGGTAAAACATCAACCCCTTCAGCAAGAGAACAGAGTGATCTTTTGACTTGAGCAACAGCAGGACTTTTTAAAACAGGTCCAGGAGAAAAACAGAAGAGTCCATTCTGTGTAAATGTCTTTACTTCTATCCTCACTCTGTTCCTCCCTCCTTGTACCTGACATTCAACAGCATCTCACTCTTCTGTTTCCAAGCTGCCAGTTAGCTGTCTGAAGGTACTTCTCCGCCACCTCCTCCTCTTCCTCTTTCTGACCCATCCTGCTTCTGCCACGTGCTTAAAGCCCACCAACAGCCCCGCCTGCAGTATTTTACCAGCCAAATAAATATTTAAAAATGAACAGGGATCAAAAGTTTTTCAGAAAATAATGCATTTTTCCCCCTCGTTCTTAAGTGAGAATCAGTAATGCACAACTGAGGTGGAGTTCTTTGTTTTTCAAGTTTTTGCAAAAACAGATGAGAATATTCTCAGGATATTGACATAATTCGACATGTAAAACCAAAATATTTATCCCAGTTAATCATTTTCCTCTTCATGTCGTCTTCATCTTTTCTCAACCTTCGTCTTTGATCCTGAGCTTTTGAGACTCCACCCTTTTATTTTTTTCTCATCTTGTCATTTCTGTGAAAAATGCACATCTTTGCACATTTCATTTTAGAAATTCACATTACAGTACTAATAAGCTCTGTTAGTAAATTCTGTCCAAGTTGGATAATTATTTTTATTGGTCTGGTTGGATTATCTGATATGAGCTTTCACTTGTTTTACTGTGAATTTGCTGAATAGCTATTTGAACTTAGCATTATGTATGATATGACCTAAAACTAATTCTGCAATATTTTGGAGTTTTATCTCAATGCTTAATACTTCACAATGTTTTTATTATTATTTAATTCAGCTCTACGTTGCTGTGGTCAACTTTTGACTCACAGACCAGGGTCCTGTGATTCTCGTTCCCCGTTAAAAACAAATAAACGACCCAGACGTGACATTTCACCTGCCTAGTTCCAAAGACAAATTTAAGATGCAGACGGGCATCGCAGTTTAAAAAGCAGAAGGAAAGAGTGAGTGGCTGTCTATATAAAAAGAAGCAGTCGTTGGTGTTTAAAAAGAAATCACAAATCATTCTGACTCATAATCACACATCATCTCAATGGTTGGACAAGCCAGAATTCAGAATAAATTAATAACAACAAAACACAAAACTAACTAAATGACCATTGCTGATTCAAGGACCCTGCATACTCTGTCCAAAGCAGCAAAATCGTCTTTCATTGACAAAATTGCTTCATGAAAATAGTCATTTTGTTCTCAGAGTAGCTTCGCCCGACTCCAACCTTTTCTCACGTGCGTATTCACCAAGGATTGTGCGATTGGTCAGAAGTTTGTGGGCGTGTTCATTTTGGAAATGTGCTCCGACATTCAGCTGTACGACTCTTCAAACACACTAAATTAGTCAAATGTCCAACAACTCCTGGATGGAGATCATGCAGACTTTGTGTATGGAGGAGTCTATCTACTGAAAAGTGTGGCTCTCTCTTCATGATAGATTTGTGGCCGAATGGCAGACGCAGGAAAAGCGTGGAGACTCTAGCAGGAAGAAACCCGTGTGGTGACGTAAACAGCAGCTGGAGGGGTTTCCCAAGTGCTCTGCGCCTGTTTCTCGCGAGTTGACTGTTGAGTTTCGGATGGAGTATGTTGAACCTTTCAGGATTAGGGTACAAAGAGCCAAACACTTGACGTGTTGAATGACCAGTGATTACTGTAAATCAACAGCCCATTAAATAAATGCTACATTTTTGTAAGAGAAACTGTCATTTTAGGCCACTCGTGTTTAAAACAAATAGCAGGATGTTACGTCCACCATGAACATAACACATTAAGGAGGCCACGGGACACAAATATGGAGGTTCAAACATTTAATTTATTAAAAAGGCTGCTGCTTCCTGAGAAAAAAAGATTATTATGAACCCCCAATTCCCATGTTCACCCAAGAAACACAAAACCCCAAAGTATTAACTTAATGGTGGACCTGGTGAGCCGGCCAAACCAAACAAAATGGTACAGCAGCGGGTCAACCCTATATAGGGCCGTCGAAGCCGCTGCTGATACCAGACTAAATCTACAAAAAAAACTAAAAAAAACACCTATTACAAAAGAAGGTGTGAAAACAAGACTACCGGTCCCACCAGGACAGAATTACTACAAAAAACCATACAAAAAAAGTTAACAAAAATTACCTTTGGTGGCTGATGCCGCCGGCTGCAGGCCCTAGCTCCAGGACAAGAGAGAAAAACACAAGGGCCCCAGAAAACCCAGGGCAGCCAAGAAAAAGGTCCAAACAAGGAGGCCCAAAAAGAGCGGCTCAGAGGTCCAAAAAATGTGGGAGTTTGAGAGGTTCAAAAACAGAGGGAGTCTGAGAGAGTGAGCGCCCTGAAACCAACGTATTTATGGGCGGGCAAAAAAGGCCACAGCCCAAAACAATTAAAGGCTGATTAGCCAAACCAAAACCTGTCCAAAGGAAACCATAATAAGGCCAATGTGCCCCAGGCACATAACACAGGAGTTTAAGAAAATTATGTAAAAGAATAATGAACTTTGTTCCAAATAAATTTTTATGCAGGCTACAAGACGGCAAGAACCAAACAAGGTAGTTTACAGAGTGCCTGAATGATTTCACATTAGATGATGATATTTTTAACAATCGTCCATCCTTTGATACATTACCGGTACTTCATTTCTTCTACATAGAAGGGAAAGTTCTCGACAGCCATTTTATCTTTTGGTACTATTCCCTGTACTGCATCTGAATATCTCATCGAGTCTCTCAGCTGTGCAGCTCCCACAACAGATTCATCACACACCATGTCCAACTTCTCTTCCTCCTCTCAGAAGGTTATAGATGGAGATGAGCTGACTTTCATAAATGTCCCAAATTTGGAAAATCTGTTGCCTTGGATCTCTCAACACCAAAATGCAAACCGCATTTGCTCGAACATCTTCTTTACAAAAATCAAGCTTCTATCAAATGATGATGCACTTGTTTCATATATGAATTCACCATCTCTGAATGCTTAATAACTCTTGTTGGGCTTTTGTTCCCCTGCTTCTGTCCCTCTGATTCACAAACGTGCCTGCAGGAGAATTTGCTGGAGTTTTCTTAATTAATGAAGTAGTTTGCCGTCTGCATTTAGTGGAACATCATGAGAGTTGGAAAAAAAAATCTCCCAGTAAATCAGATGCGTATGGCTAAAAACATTACAGTGGAAATTATGGTTGTCGTGGAGCCATTTAAGATATCTCATATGGATCAGTGCACAACACATTGAGTACATTTGATGTTTTGCCCACCCTTAATTGGAAACCCCAAAAATCCAAAGAAACAAATGAATTGATTCCCATGATGATTCAGTTTTGGTACATCTGCTTCTACTTGAGCCTGTGTTAAACACAGCATATAATTATGAAGAGATTTTCCTGCAAATTACATGCTGTGTGTGTTCAACATTTCCCTCCCTGGGTTTTATATACCTGTTGTTTAATGTCTCATCCTTCAGCCATTATTGTGGAGGCTGGCTGGTAAAATAGTGGAAGTGGAAGGTGACTGAATTAGCAGCTGAAGAAAAGCTTGTGCTCTTGACCTGCAAATAAACATGACTCATTCATGAGATCAGCTTGGTTTATTTTATGTTGCTTACATTCCTGAGTTATCACTTTCTGAGCTGGGCTGTTTTTTAAACAGGTTTTCCTTTGAGTTTATTTTCAAATATACTATAATCTCCACCATTTCCTGCTTTGTCCTTTCATTGCTAAATTTTGATATGGGTAGATATTTATACAAGACTGTTTCTGTGTGTGTGTGTGTTTTTTATAAACCTGTATGTGTCTTTTTTTCTGTGTGTTAGGTTATTGATCCAGTAGCTCCCAGGTACACTGCTCTGTCCAGCTCCTACGTGGTTCCAGTTTCCATCTCAGAGGCAACAGAGGAGATGAACGAAGTGGCCAAACATCCTAAGGTTAGTGGGTTTTACTGCCTAATTTTTTTTTTTTTTTTTTTTTTTTTGAGTAATTACTGATGATGGTCTGTCTGGGGGGCTACAGTAGCTCGATGGTCATTCTTGTAATCCTGAGGTTGCAGGTTTGAGCCTAGGTTGCATCAGGAAGGGCATCCAGTGTAAAATGGTTAACAAATCTTTCATGTGAATCTGCTCCCTGCAGAAAAGAGCAGCCGAAAGAAACTTACTGGTGATATTTAGTGTCCAAAATAATATATTCATGTGGTTTAGATAGCCTAAAGCTCATTGTTTTCTTTCTGGGGTAAAAAATGTTGACCATCAGACAAATATTTATTGTATTTAACACAGGGTTGGATCAGGATGCATTGTTATATTCAGAATATAATTTTAAAAAGTTATCAGCTGCTTTCAGTTTTATTTAAGAGTCAGACTCATTTGTTATTTTGAAAACAATTTTGATCAGTACCGGTAGTTCTTCACACTTTCTGAAAGTCTTCTAATATTTTTGTTAGGTTTTATTCGTGTAACCTTTTCCACCACAACCTTGAGAACGGTGTGGAACAGTATAAGCCTGCATTATTTAAATCAGAAATTGATTAATAAGAGTATTTCTTTTGCTGATGCTTTTCTTGAGGAATCATATTAGCCAATGGCCGATATTGAATTAATTAATAGTTACTGTCAATTCCACACACAGTGAAATTCAAAAGTGCCATCCAGTCAATGTATCATGCTTAAAATTGAGTAAAAACTTTCAGAAATCAACTAATATTACAATACATAAAATAACCATAAAAGTAAATAAAATTGATTAACCCCCCCCACACACACACACACACACTCACACACACATTTTAAAAAGTCAAGAACAAGCAGAGCCACATTTTCAGTTCAAACAGCTCATTTAGTTTATGTTCGGGCTCTGCTTTGGGCTTTAAGATGAGTAACTGCTGTGGGATAAAAACTGCCTTTAAATCTGTTTGTTCTTGTTTTAATTGACCTTTACAGTCTTACTGTCAAATTAATTACAAACTAATTCATATTAGTGTCTCTTTTTTTTAAAGTTTTTTTTTTAAATCTGATCAAAATAAAATGATTAATAAAACAAATAATGACCAAAGTCACTTAACCTAAATGCACATTTTGTAAATAACATTCAGAAGAACTTTATTTAAAACGCATATAGAAGAAAATTCTCCCCTAAAATAAATAAATGGTGCGCTGCAGTGAGCTGGATGTTGCAGCAGCTGCATCTTCATGCATCAGGCCACGTGTTTGACACTTAACTGTCTACACAGCAACACTGTGCCGCTCACACATGCCCCTGCTTGGTTATGGCTACACATATTCAAGCATCCAGTAATGGATTATTTAAGAAAAAAGGCCAATATTAACATGATTTTTAGGACAGAAAGTAAATAGAATAAGATGAGTGGATGGTCAATATATAATAATAATAATATTTTAATTCATTTAATTTATATAGCACCAGTTTACAACAAGAGTCATCTTAGGTCAATGCACAGCAATGTTCACATTTATTATATAATACCAATTAGTTCGTTATCTAATAGCCTGTTAACTGGCACCAGCCTGCCTATGGACCATTGTGACTTCGTTCTTCTTTAAACAGCATGCTGGCTCAGTGGTTAGCACTGCTGCCTCACAGCAAGAAGGTCCTGGGTTCAATCCCCAGTTGGACCTGGGGTCTTTCTGTGTGGAGTTTGCATGTTCTTCTCGTGCTTGCGTGGGTTTTCTCTGGGTACTCCCGTTTCCTCCCACAGACCAAAAACATGCATGTTAGTCTGCCTTCAGGCCCAGGCCTCCATTGCAAAAGAGATCTGTGATCTCAATGGGATTTGCCTGGTTCAATAAAGGTTAATAAATAATAATAAATAAACAGCTGCTACGCTTTACCAGCCACTTCTAATTTAAATACCACATTATCAAAATGGCAGTTTAGACCCTCCTCTTTTGATTGACACTTCATTTGACCAACTGGGTCGACCTATGGTCTCTCCAGAGTCAATAATATCGACCAAACGTCTGTGTTCTGACCAGGAACACCCACACTCTTTACATGTGGGTGTCCACATGTAAAGACACGCAACACTTACTGTATTTACGTGTTTATTGCTGCATGCATCCTTACTATTTGTTCATAATTTATTGTATGTTTTAATCATGCAGACAGTAAATCTGGATGTAGAATGTGATTCCTGTAGTTCTTACCTTGCATTAGAGCCCTCACTGATGACTGTATGCTGAATCATTCAGGAGTTGCAGCTTTATGATGTTGGTGTCCAACTGTGTGGACATGTTGGACTCCATTTAGACTCTTTGAAATATGCATGGACATACTCTCATAAAAATATGTCCAGAATAATAATTTATGGTGCTATTGTTACGTACTTTGAACTGCTCATAGGTAAAACTTTATGCTGCAGCCTCCATATTTTTTTAGTCCATCCCTCCATGTGCATAAACATAAACAATTTCAGATAAGAAATTATGATCTTTGTGTGTTTCAACTTCAATAAATATGTACTAGTTATAGTTACAATATCTAGTACTAAAATTCAGAGTGTTTATAGAGAGACCAAGTTTTTGAATTTACTCCAAAAGGTTCAAGAACAGTATTTAAATTCCTCTGGGTACATTTATTCAGGCGTTTTGTCATGTCACTTAGTGATAACAGGCTAAAGAAGCAGCAGATGGTGCTGGATCTTCCTTGCAGCACCGGAGTTTCCTATTCTGAGTAAGCACACTGGAAACGGTGGAAAGAAACAACTCCCTTTTAACACGTACGTCCAGAACAGGATTGTTGATGTGAAAGAACTGTTGTAGTCTCATTCAGGCTGTGCCTTGTTTAAGGGAAATGTGTATTTTTTGCTCCTCTGGTATGAAATCTTGTGACGTAGAGACTGCAGCATTGATTTATGTCAGTAATCGTTATGAACGTTGCCACCATCACTGGTATCTCTGTGTTCAGAACGCAGAGGTTGGGATGAAGGAGGTTTGGTATGGACCTAGAGTTCTGGTTGAGGGAGCCGACGCCGAGACTTTCAAAGAGGGAGAGATCGTCACGTTCATCAACTGGGGAAATCTGATCATCACCAAGATCAACAAGTACGTTAAATCAGCTGATCGTTAAACTTCAGTCAGCGTTCTTCTATCCAGCTTCTCATCTCGTCACATTCTTGCCCACAGAGGAGCTGACGATAAGATTGTGTCCATGGAGGCTCGCCTGAACCTGGACAACAAAGATTTCAAGAAGACGACAAAGATCACATGGCTGGCTGAGACAGAGAAGGCCCCCCTGCTGCCCACCATCTGCGTCAATTACCAGCCACTCATCTCTAAAGCCGTCATTACCAAAGATGACGACTTCAAGGAGTACATAAATAAGAACAGTAAGGTGAGCACCATGATCTGTGTGGACCTGTCATGCTGCATCTATCTCATGAATCCTGAATGAACTGTGTTGGGTTCAGAATAATAGATTTTCAGTTTTTCTGAATTAATTTTGAACCAAACGCCACCTGGAGCATTTTTGTGAGAAATTATTATTATTATTATAGTTTAAATAACATGTTGTGATTGTGTTATTCCCAGTCAGAGGAGAAGATGCTCGGGGATCCCTGTCTGAAGAGCCTGAAGAAAGGGGACATCATTCAGCTCCAGAGGCGGGGCTTCTACATCTGCGACCAGCCCTACGAGCCAATCAGGTGAAGGGAAAAAAGCTTTAATCATCTCAGCTCAGCTACATCGATGTCTCTGCAGTCTTTGATTGTTGTCCCTCTGTTGATGCTTAACTGTGTCATTGTCTTCAGTCCGAACAGCTGCAAGGAGAGTCCTTGTGTCCTGTTTTATATTCCTGATGGTCACACCAAGGAGATGCCGACTGCTGGATCCAAGGACAAAAGCAAGAGTCAGGCCTCCAGCAGCGCCGTAAGTTTGGCTGGAAGAGCAAAAACAAACATGCAGATAGCTTTAAAACTATTTGTCAACTCTCAGGTTTATCTGTACGTCGAGTTAAAGTTTATATATCAGCCACACAATATTTCCCATTTAAAGCTTTGACTAGATTTACATTTGATACGGCGTGGTGCAAATAGTTTTACCATTTAAACTGAAATTAAATGTATTAACAGTATTTGGGGGCATTACTGGGTACGAGGAGGAAATCACAAACTGGTCTAACCAGTAACTCCAAAGCTGGTAAAAGCTAAAGCTAACTCAGAAACGAGGATTAAAGGCTTCAGTCATGGCTTTAATGATATCTGGAAATTACAAACATGAAATCAGTGAAGGAGTGGAAGAAATGGTAAATATCTCCTAAGGCCTTAATCTTTTCTTATTTTTCATTGTTTTCACCTAAACTCTGGAATTGCAGAGCTTAAAAAGCTTCAGCTTGTTTTTTTTGTTTTTTTTACTAACAGTGTTCTGCAGCGTCACAAATCTTTTACTCTTCTCTCCCATTGTCTGTTGAGCTTATTCAGTTAATTGTAATTAAAATAAATGTATTCAACAAACCTGTTTCAAAACCAGATTGTTGGTTGGAATAATGATATTGATTGTGTGACAATTGGTAGTAAACGCTCAGTAAACTTAATCACCAGTGGTCACGCAGAACACGTCAGGGTACAAGTTTTACTACCAGGTGTGAACACATACACTTTTAGTTTGACCTGTCCCGTAGTGATCAGATCACCTACATAAAATGAGCTGTTTTGACCCAAATAAAACAATGAAAAATTACACATTATTTTCTTGCTTTTCTTCTGTATCTTAGCCTACCACCAGTACCAAAGCTGCTCCAGCTCCGGCTCCGGCTCCAGCTCCGGCCCCAGCTCCGGCCTCTGTCTCAGCAAATGATCTGTTGTCGAGCATTGGAGCACAAGGAGAAGCTGTCCGCAACCTGAAGGCTGCCAAGGCTCCCAAGGAAGAAGTGGATAAAGCTGTTCAGCAGCTGCTTTCTCTAAAGGTACATCACCTCCAGCTAAATAAGCTGAAAATATTAAAATACATGTAGAAATATGTGCCTTATTTATCTATTTGCCTCTTGCAGGCTCAATTTAAGCAGCAGACGGGTGTAGACTACAAACCGGGAATGGCTCCCCCCACTTTATCAGCCACACCAGCCCCTTCATCTGACACCGCCTTATGTCCATACACTTGTGTTACTCAGCAGGGTGAGCTGGTCAGGAAAATGAAAGCAGAGAAAGCGCCTAAGGTACAGGATATTTATACAGTGCATGCTCATGTTCACATCAGTTTGTGTGATCCCCTGAGAGACGTGGTCGTTTGTTTGTTTGTTTGTTTGTTGGAATGACAGATTTTTCTGCTCATCTTCCACATTGTTTTTTGTCCCGTCTTGCAACAAAAGTCACTTGCCTTGTCATCTTCTGCTCCATCCCTGCATGAATAATCCCACCGTCGAACAGTCGTTCTCCATTTCTTAGTAAAACAATAAAATGATTTGTCACTGGCACCAGGACCAGATTGATGCTGCGGTGAAACAGCTCCTCGCTCTCAAGGCGGAGTTTAAAACGCTCACTGGTCAGGATTACAAGCCAGGGATGGTCGCGCCTGCTCCTTCCTCAGCTCCTTCCACTGTGACCTCCTCCCTTCCCCCCTCTTCATCTCCTCCTCCTTCTTCTTCTTCTTCTTCTGGCCTGTATGAGCGTGTTGCACAACAGGGGGAGGTCGTGAGGAAACTGAAGTCTGAAAAAGCCCCCAAGGTATTCTGGCACTGTGTTGTAAATTAAAACACTTTCCTGTTAATTAAACGGCTTATTCAAACTTGCCAAAAGTTAGAAGTGTGCTTTAAGAACACATTGTTCATGTGAAAATTTAAAGTATATAGATTTTCTTATCCCATAACATGGGTGGATTTATTTATAAAGTAATATTTATCATCAAACTGGTTGACCCACTATGTGAAGGTACTATTTATAAGACTGAGTTTGTTGTGGCTCCTTGGACTGATGAAGTCCTTTGGATGAAAGACGAAGCGTTTCAACAAAAATAAACTGTTCAGATGACCTGACTTAACTTTTTTGAATGTATAAAGTGATGTTGCTGTAAATCTGGGACAGCCGACACAAAACACTTTGAAACGTTTTAATCCTTTTGGGGAAGACAATAACAGCGTTTTAAGACTGAACTAATGTGATGAAAATTAGCTCTGGTAAGTTTTTGTCTGATCGTGAAAACAAGGATTTTTTAAATTGTATTTTCTTTTATTGTGAAACTGAACTGTCTTGCTTTTGGTAGTGATTTTTGGGACACCCCATTACAAAATGTCCTGCTCATGTGAATACAAAAGTATTTTTAAATTAATAGTTTTCTTGTTTGTCTTAGGACCAGGTCGATGCTGCTGTGAAACAGCTGCTTGCTCTGAAAGCAGAGTACAAACAGGTCACGGGCCAGGAGTACAAACCTGGAGCAGCTCCGGTTCAGAAGACCCCTGCCCCAGTTCAGAAGAGTCCTGCCCCAGTTCAGAACAGTCCTGCCCCTGTTGTATCTGCTGCCTCTGGTCTTTATGAGAAGGTAGCTGAACAGGGAGAGGTGGTCAGGAAACTGAAGGCTCAAAAAGCCCCTAAAGTAAGTTTTAGCTGTTTTCTTGTTTGATTTGGTGTTTGTAGCATCCAGTAGTTAATCACTTTCCATTTGTGCTTTAACCAAATGTTCTTCGTGCATTCTGTTTTTCAGGATCAGGTAGATGCTGCAGTGAAGCAGCTGCTGGCTCTGAAGGCAGAGTACAAACAGCAGACTGGTCAGGACTACAAGCCTGGTGTACCGGCTCCAGCTAGTCCTGCACAGACCCAGTCCAGCACCGACTCTGCTCAGTGCAGCTCCACTCCGCAGGCTCAAGAACTCTTCTCACAGGTGGCCCAGCAGGGGGAGCTGGTGAGGAAGCTGAAGGCTGAGAAAGCTGCCAAGGTAAGGATCAAATCACAAATTGTAAGTAGTGAAATTGCATGTCCTGTGAAAATGCAGTGTGAATGCTTATTGTAGAACTTGCTGAAAAACAGTTGAATTAGCTAAAACAAAAAAAATGCTGAAATGGAAGAACAAAGAATTAGCAAAAGAAAACAGAAAGAATGTGTTCTTTCAAAGAACACATATTTGCTGAATTAGGCTTAAATAAGAAGATAGCACAAAAAAATATATAAATAAAAAAGGCTGAAATTCACACACAAAAAAAAAGCTGAATAGTAGATGAAAATGCAGAAATAAGCTTAAACTACCACAAAGATGCGGAAAGAGCTAAAATGAGCTCCAAAAATGAGGAATTAGCTGGAAAAGCTAAAATTAGCATAAAACGGTTAAATAGTAGATGAAAGAGCAAAAAAAGCTGAAAGGAGCATAACAAGCTGATATAAGCAGAAATAAGTTAATTAGGCTGAAAGTAGCAGAAATTACCACAAAATGCTTGAAGTTATCTTAAAACATTTCAAATGAGCTAAAAAGGTAGCTGAATAGGTAGAATAAGCTCAAATTAGCATAAGAAAGCAGAAAGAACACGTTTGCCCAATTAGGCTGAAAGAAGCAAAAATTAGCACAAATAGGGTAAGTGGAAATTATCAGTAAAAAGCTGAAATAAAAAAAAAGAACTGCTGTAAAGTAGCTAAAAAGGCAAAAAGAAGCTGAAATTACAAGAATGAAGTGGAGAGAGTACATTTTTAATGAATTAGGCTGAAAACAGTTGAAATGTGTACAAAAATGTGGAGTTGGCTGAAAAAGCTTCAATTAGCATAAAAACAGCTATATACCAGTAATAGCTGAAATGGTAAAAAAAAAAAGTTGAAGCTTTCAGAAGTAAGCTGAAAAGAGCATAACAAGCTGAAATTAGCAGAAAGAAGTTAGAAGAAGCACAACATTGTTGTAGATTGCAGAAAGAATCTGAAAGGAGCAAAAACAGCTGGAATTAGCTGAAAGTAGCTGAAGAAATATTTATCTTTGCACAAGCTGAAAGAAGCTGAAGCAGAACAAAATGTGAGAGGAGCAGTGAAAGGTTATAAACAGATCTAAAGATTTTAAGGATGTAAAATTAACTCAATTCATTTTCTATGAGAGAAAAAATGGCAGAAAAAGGCTAAATATTACAAAAAGCTAAAGTGGAACCACAAGTCATAGCAGGATTGTCCTGAAAGAGCTGAACGTTTTGATATGATTTGTTCAAGTAGCTTGAAAACTGCCGGACAAGAATTACGCCGAAAAACGTACGGAATAGATAAAGTAATGCCAGGAATACGTAATAATAAATGTAAACAGGATCACAATAGTTAAGCATTCACACAATCAATGCACAGCAGCCCAGACAGAAGGTGTTAAGAACATCTGCTGATCTGTTCACACACGGGCCTCACTGCAGTTAATTATGTGGATGTTTGATGTGGAAACTGTTTAACAGCAACTAATGCAGAGAAAATAACGTCCTGTTTCAGGAGCAGGTGGATGAAGCTGTGAAAACTCTGCTGGAGCTGAAGAGCAAGTACAAGTCTGTCACTGGAGGGGACTACAAACCAGTGAGTGCTGCTGGAGCCACTGGAGGAGAGGACAAAAACCGCAAGGAGAGGGAGAACAAGTCTGAGAAACAGGGAGGAGGAGGAGGAAAGAAAAGTAAAGGGGACAAAGCTGGTCATGGCAAGGAGTCATCAGGAGGAGCAGGAGGCTCAGGAGAGGGTCAAGGCCCAAAGAAACAGACACGGTGAGAGGCTGACGACTGGTGGGAGGAGAGCTGGAAGAGCACGTCTAAACAATGACCATAGCTTCACATCAGCAGATGTTGTGTTTTAAACTGGAGAGTTGTTACCGGTGAATATTAATAAATATTGAGGAACAAAATGTTGTTCTGCTTTTTGCATCACCAAGTGCAGGTTTGTCCTGTTCCATCACTGTTCAGTAGATTGTTGGGTGTGTTATGGCTACTTTGCAGAAGACGACTACATTACAGCTGTTTGTTCTGAGCGTTTACTAAAATTATCTGAATTTCACTGCCCATAAATCACCTCTTTCTCAGTTTGAAACATTTCGTTTGAGTAAAACCTGAAAAGGGTTGAAAGGTCCGCGTGTTTGCCAGCAGCTAATAAGTTGAATAATCCCTGAAGTTTAGCTGAAGTGGTGTCAATGCACAACTGTTCTTGAGAGCGTTGATGTGGACGCAGAAGATGGATCATTTGTTCGGCTCGCTGCTGGGCTTTAGACTGAAGAAGAGTTTTTATGTTCACATTGGTGAGTCCGAGTGGTTGATGTGGTTTTTGTCTGCACTATTCTTGCTTGTTGGCTGCCGTCCCCCTCGCCATTTCAGGCGTTGTCTCTGCACTGCTTACTGTGTTTATTTTCTTAGCCCAGGCATAGCTCATGACATTGTCACTCTGATTGGTTCACAGTGAAATATCTATAAAAATAATCCTATAGATTCAGGTTTTCACGTGACATTTACTCTTAGTAACATGGCGTTACATTTTTTTTTTCATAAGGTCCTGATGATGAGTTATTATAGAATTATTACTGAGCATGTGTAAGTTTTGTCCAAAGTTGCTCCTTACAGTGTGTTTTGGTCAGCTATTTTATTTATAATTAGATTCTGACTGCAAGTTTATCCACTTTTCAGTAGAGTCCTACCAATATGGAAATTTTGGCTATCACTGATACCGATATTGGGAGGGGAAGGCTAATGTCGATAACCGATATACTGGCTGAACTTTTTTGAGCTTTGTCCACCACCAATAATCTAAGTAAACAGTTACCGTTAAACCTGCTTTAATACGTGAAGTCTTAATAGTCTTCCTAACATACGTTTCCATTTTCGTCCACTATTCACCATAGGCTGTCAAGTGTGAAGGTCTAATTAATATTGACTGCAGTGGCTTTCTTTCTTTTTTGTTTCATTCCAGACAAACAACACATTTAATTGAGGATGACAAAGATAACGTTACTAACACTGATATATAGATATATTTACATCTACATTAGATTTATTGTTCTGGATAAAGTTTTCCAAGGCAGTAGCCTATGCTAGGTTATCTAAACGTTAGCTTGCTTACTTGAGAGGTACGTAGCTGAAGGCGTGTCGGAGGATGAACGATCATTTATTATTGTTGATTTTTTTTTTTTTACAGATCAGTTAAATTAAACTTAACCATGCTTTATTCAGCAAAATACGCTACACAGTATTAGGCCTGTCACGATAACAAATTTTGCTGGGCGATTAATAGTCTCTGAAATTATTGCGATAAACTGTAAAATTGTTTGAAACTTAACAAAAATTGTAAAATTTTAGAAGAATTATTATTAATATTAATTAAATTATTTAAATTATTAATAATTATTTGTTTTGCATGTAGTACCTTTTTTGACCACGTGATGGCAGTATAAGGCTGTTTGAACCAAAGGATGGATAGTTGAGCAGGTGTCTTTAAGAAAAATGGGAGTGAAGGCCCTTGACGTGATATGGGCTGACATGGTGATATGGCGTGCACTCGATGGTTTGAGCTCTCTAGCATAGCATTTTTCACACAAAGCTTTTAATAAAAAAATCAGTATGCTGGTGAAGATTCTCAGTCATCCAGGACATGATGAATTCAAAAAGCGTTCAATACAAAAACAACTGGACTTTATTTGTAACAAGACGTTTCGCTCCTCATCCGAGGAGCTTTCTCAATTCAAAGAGCAGAGAGTGAGGGATTCAGGTTATAAGGCTGAGTGAGATAAGACACACACACACATAAGACACACACACACATATGTAGATTGGCAGTTCACACCTAAACACCTAAACAGTAGGTCTTTGTTCCTCTAATTCACTGACGAGGCCCCTCTGTTCCCATCAGGTGTGAAAAACCGGCTGGGGATCTGTTTTAAAGTTGCATTATAGGTTTTTGAAAGTGGAATCTGAGGCCTCCTCCTCTGTTAAGAGACGGCTTTTCTCTTTTTACATAAATTGCTTCCTTCACCCCCCTCTCAAACCATCTGTGTTCTCTGTCCAAAATGAGCACATTTTGGTCTTCAAAAGAGTGTCCCTTATCTGTGAGGTGGAGGTGAACAGCTGAGTCTTGTCCTGTGGAGGTGGATCTCCTGTGCTGAGCCATGCGTCTGTGAAGAGGCTGTTTAGTTTCTCCAATGTAGAGGTCTGGACAGTCCTCGCTGCACTGGACCGCATACACTACACCACTCTGTTTGTGTATGGGTGTTTTGTCCTTAGGGTGGACCAGCCTCTGTCTGAGAGTCCTGCTGGGTTTGAAATGTACTGGGATCTTGTGTTTGTTGAAGATCCTTCTGAATTTCTCTGATACTCCAGCAACATAAGGGATGACAATGTTTTTACGTCTGCTGTTCTCCTTTTTCAGTTTATTGGTTTATTGGTTTAACCGCCTCCTTCAAACCTCACACCACAGGAAAGGAAAGCTGTAACATCACTCAGCCAGGACCAAAACATCACCATTTTACCAGCTGATAAAGGAAGATGCACAGTAGTCCTCAACACTTCTGATTACCGGGAAAAAATAACTACACTACTGAGCGACCGTAACACCTATGAGGGAACAACGCCAAGCCATTGGTTCCGTTATGTGGATGACACTTGGGTCAAAATCCAAGCCAAGGAAATAAAAGCGTTCACCAGACACATTAACTCGGTCGATAACAACATCAAGTTCACCAGAGAGGATGAGGATCCAAAAACACAATTTTGGATGGTTAAAACAGATTTTAAAGAGAAAAGGAGGGGTCAGTAAAGAGCACCGGAGTTGAGCCTTTTGTCACCAAATGTCTTCAGTAGAAAGGGAGAGACACGAAGAAACGAAGCTGATAAATGAAAATGAGGTCGATAATTTTCATTCATCATGCGATTAATTGATTTATTGTTTATCGCGACAGGCCTACGTAGTATTTAGTCGTTCCCTGCTTCGGCTGGGTGTGCAGCAGGGCCATGACTTGAAAGTAGTCCGCATGCGCCCTCTGCTGGATACATTGTACAATTACACCATTTGCAAGTAAGGACACAGCTCATTCCCAGTGTTTATATCTGCACATAATGGGACAATTATCACGATACCGATATGTCCCCAAACACCTAGATCAGTCAGTGTCTATTATTGTGACCGTAGAACTTTGTACCAAATGTTTCCAAATGCTCAGTTAAAAAGAGTGACAAGTCAAAAAGTGGGGTCATTTCTCACTCGTAGTTTCAGCTGACATTCCTTTATCGCCACCAGCACCTCAGAATCCCACTTTGAGCTGCATGTTACTGAACGACCATCCACGCTGACATTCCCATCAGCTTCATTGTTTTATGACGGCTGCTAATAAGTTAATATCAGCATGCTAATACAATAAACTAATAAGTAATTTTTTATATAAAGATGTTGATGTCACCTGCTCATCACAATTATTAAACAATGTATTGGTGAGAATGTTAGCATGAGCTTAAAACAATCATTTGAGGACCTGATTAAAAAAAAAGGATTTTATGATGTGAATATTCTGTTTTCGATTTGAAGATGCAAACCGTACAGAAAATAACTTTTGTTCCTCAAATATCCATGTAACAGTCCAAATATTAATTGTTCAAGAATAACTATATGTTTTGAGTTTGAAGTTTTTAACTTCCTCGCCTGGTTAGAGAAATTAAGTGGAAAGAGCTGCATCTTGATATTGTTTTGTTTCCTGTTGAGTGGGCAGAATTGAATTAATGCAGCGCTAAAGTTAAATATGTAACTGCTATTCATTAATTTATTAATATGGTTGTTGTTATACTGTGGTTTGCCTCACACAAACTCTTTTGTGCCTCCCGTCAGGTTGGGTTTGGAGGCTAAGAAAGAGGAGAACCTTGCTGACTGGTACTCTCAGGTGAGTGTTCATCACTCCAGATACCTTCCTCTGTGTGTATAATGTTCAAGCTGTGCAATGCTTTTTTTTTTGTCTGCCCCTTCAGGTCATCACTAAAGCAGAGATGATTGAGTACTACGATGTGAGCGGCTGTTATGTGCTCCGGCCCTGGGCTTACTCGATCTGGGAGGCTATTAAAGACTTCTTTGACAAAGAAATTAGGAAACTGGGTGTGGAGAACTGCTACTTCCCCATGTTTGTCTCTCAGGCCGCCCTAGAGAAGGAGAAGTCCCACATTGCAGACTTTGCTCCTGAGGTAAATCACTGTTTTTCTAAAAATGAAATAAATGGGAATTAATGTAAACATTTCATGACAATAAGAACACATGCAGACCATGTTGTAAGGAGACTAAATGGGATTCTTCTAAACTTTAATAATTTAATCATATACAGGTTTTTTTTTTTTTTGTCTTGTTTAAGCATTGTTTAAACGTCTGTAAAGTTTAAGTTAGTTGTATGTAAAAATGTACCTCCATAAGTCAAATCAACCACTTGGGATTTTCTACAGGAAAGGGTTAGAGATGATCAAAACACGAAGAGCTGCATGATTAAAAAAAAAAAAAAAACTTTTTTTTTGTATGCATCCTGTTTGATTGTCTATTGTTGTCCATTGTTGTCATCACTCTTTGTTAAAATTCAGGTCTCTCTTGCACATGAGGCTCAGTGGGACTAACATGTCTAAATAAATGTTGAATGAATGAAAAATGATGGTTATCTTTAAAACATTAAAAGACATGCACAAGCTCAGGGCAGAACTTCAGAGCCAGAAATGATGATCTAATTACTCCAATCGTTGTGGCGTCTCCTGTTTTCAGGTTGCCTGGGTGACTCGCTCAGGAAAGACTGAGCTGGCAGAGCCCATCGCTGTCAGACCCACCAGTGAGACAGGTCAGGAAAAAAAACTGACTTCTTGGTGGAGTCTGATCATAAAAAGAACGTTGAACATTTTTAACTGTAGCATGTGTTGAATAAATCAATTAATTAAATTTTACTGATTTGTTTCTTTTTTGTTGTCTTCAGTGATGTATCCAGCCTATGCTAAATGGGTCCAGTCCCACAGAGACTTGCCAATCAAACTTAACCAGTGGTGCAACGTTGTGGTCAGTAAATGCATCACACCTCACCCTTTACATGCTGACTTTTTGTCTCTCTTGTAACTCTAATGCTGCCTTTTAGAGATGGGAGTTCAAACACCCTCAGCCCTTCTTGAGGACTCGGGAGTTTCTGTGGCAGGAGGGGCACACAGCTTTCGCTACAAAGGAGGAGGCAGCTGAGGAGGTAACAGATCTGACAAAACACCTGTGAGCCTGTCTTCATCCACTCTGTATAAAGAGACAGACAAAGGTGTGGCTGAGCTGCTCTGAGACAAACGGTTCTGCTTTTGTAGGTGCTGCAGATTCTGGATCTGTATGCCAGGGTGTATGAGGAGCTCATGGCCATCCCTGTGGTAAAGGGCAGGAAGACCGAGAAGGAGAAGTTTGCAGGAGGAGATTACACAACCACCGTGGAGGCGTTCATCTCTGCCAGTGGTCGAGCCATTCAGGTAAATACTCTGGTCCTCTTCATTCAGGAAAACTGATCCAATCTGTAGACGCTGCTTTAAGTACCAAGAAATCTGAAAATGTGATGCTTCAACAAATCTGTGTTTAAAAATGTTGAAAACGGCACATTTCAACATCTGTTCCGACGAGTAACCATGTCAACGAGACGGTGGTTCACATGCAGGATCAGCTGACGGAGCTTTCCAAAAGCCACCTACTAACAGAATAACATCCTCATGGAAGACGAAACAATCCAGGAGTAGCACATGAAAAGAAAGTATGGTGCACAGCTGAGCCATTTCTTTTCTCAAATGTCATGGAGGAATGTGTGATCTGTGAAAGAACAGGGGATGCGTGTGGAGCATTGAATAAGAAGCAGCAGTTCTATAAAAAGCTGCAGGAACTTATTCCAGACTTTACTGCCTCTTTTTTTATCACTTTCCAGCCTATAGATGATGAGCACAAGTTTCTTTAACTTTTTCAGCTCATTGAAACGGCATACTGCAATTATATTTTACAGTCTAAAATTGAATTTATTTATTTTTATACCAATAATGTATATTCTGTGCCAGCATCATTTCCTTTTGTCTAATAATAAAGTTTTTATCAATTTGATTCTGCCTTCTCAGGGTGCTACATCCCACCATCTGGGTCAGAACTTCTCCAGGATGTTTGAGATTGTTTTTGAGGATCCCAAGAAGCCCGGTGAGAAGCAGCTGGCGTTCCAGAACTCTTGGGGCATCACAACCAGGACCATCGGTGTCCTCACCATGGTCCACGGAGACAACATGGGACTTGTGCTCCCTCCAAGAGTGGCCTGCCTTCAGGTAGTCCATCAGACGCTCAAAGAACAAGTGCAAGAGGCTCAGAAATGTTTTTTTTTTTTCAGAGCTGACTTGATGCGTTCATTAGGCTTTATCGCCTCAGCAGTAGTGGGTAAATATAATTATATTTTCTCCATCTTTTCACAGGTTGTCATCATCCCATGTGGAATCACTGCTTCCCTGCCAGAACAGGAGAAGGAGGCACTGCTGGCCCAGTGCTCTAAATACTTATGCAGGCTGCTGGATGCTGGCATCAGGGTGAAGACTGACGTCCGAGACAACTACTCCCCAGGGTGGAAGTTCAACCACTGGGAGTTAAAGGTCATTCATATTTTATTAATAACTGTGTGGTTGGTGTTTTTATTGTGAATAAATAATTAACTATAGGGTAAATTTACTCATTCGCCAGGAATAAAATGATCACAACAAGCATCAGGGTGGACTAGCTTGATTTGTCATGTTTCTCTCACGCAGGGAGTCCCGATCCGTCTGGAAGTGGGCCCCAAAGATATGCAGCAGAAGCAGTGTGTCGCAGTGAGGAGAGATTCAGGAGCAAAGGTGACGATCCCCGAGACTGAAGTGGAGAAGAAGCTGGTCGTCATGTTGGAGGACATCCAGAACAGCTTGTTCAAGAAGTAAGACATGCAACTACACTAACAGAACGAAACACTGAACCTTAAAGGAGAAATGAGGACAAACGGCGCATCAGCTGTTGTTGACTTTGAGATGAGATGAATAAAACGTTAAAACTGTTTGATTCTCCTGCTGTGGGATAAAGGATATTAACACAAACTATACAAAGAAATGACTGGCCAACCAGCTGGGGGCAAAGTGGCATTAGAAGCACGACAGCTCAATGCTTAGCACTGCTGCCTCACAGCAAGAAGGCCCTGGGTTCAATTCCCAGTTGGACCTGGCATCTTTCTGTGTGGAGTTTGCATTTTCTCTCCGTGCATGCGTGGGTTTTCTCTGGATACTCTGGTTTCCTCCCACAGACCAAAAACATGCATGTTGGGCTGCCTTCAGGCCTCCCTTCCAAAAGAGATCTGTGATCGCAATGAGATTTACCTGGTTAAAGAAAAGTTAATTAAAAAAAAGGACAATATTATAATAATAAGAACTAGGGCTGGGCGATATGGACCAAAATGAATATCTCGATCTTTTAAGATGAATGGCGATATACTATAAATATCTAAAAAAAATAATTATTTACATAAAGTAATAACAAATATATATTTCTGAATCTAAGCTTTGTCCCAATTGTCACACAGGCACATTTATTAACAAACTGGTGTAACTATACAAAATAAATGTCTAATAAATGAACTATTTACATATTTTAAATAATAAGCCTCTTCAGCTGCGTCACCTTCACGACGTTAGTAAGTGTGTGAACTGCAGCTGCAGCTCCGACTGACTTCAGCCTCCTTCCCTGAAACAAACCACAGTACAGAACTCATTTAGCCGTGCTGTGCCTTTTGAGACGAACAGAGAGAGGTAGCACGTCATTAATAAAGCAGTGGCTTATTTCACTAAAGACACGGTCCCAGTCTCAACTGTGGAACAAGATGGGTGGGACCATGTCTTTAGTGATACAAGCCACAGATTTATTAATATCACGCTACCTCTCACTGTTCCCCTCATAAGGCACAGCACGGCTAAATGAGTTCTGTACCGTGGTTTGTTTCAGGGAAGGAGGCTGAAGTCAGAGCTGCAGTTACACATATGCTTCATACTCCACTCATAACGCTGTTTTAAATGGTGAAAAAGAATCGTAGGGCTGACCTTTTGTCAGGACTTGTTTTCAGCTTTGTCTACAAAAACATTTTTCTGCTGCTCATCTGACAATTTAAATCCAAACCATCTCCAAATAACAGCCATTGTTTTTCTTTTTGCTCAGCAGCTAAGCTGCTCTTCGACATCCTGTGCCGTTTACTTGTTGTGTTAAACTTCCACCCACCTTGAGAAACACGAAGCGGGGGGAGTGCATGTGGGTGAGGGGCTGGGTTGTTTGTATTCAGTAAGGGAGAAGGAGGGGTCACGTGCAGTTGGCGCAGACAGGAGAAAAAGAACTATACAGATTTTCAAGTCTAATCATAACTCAACGTAGAAATATCGATATAGACGATATAGTCCCATCTAATATCGCATATAAAATTATCTCAATATTTTTTAAATATCAAGATATTACCCAGCCCTAATAAGAACCCTAAATAAGAAAATTAAAAATTATTAATATCTTTCTATAAAGATACTTGATGAGAAAGTCTTTGTGTGTTTGTCAGAGCTTCAGATGACCTGAAGAGTCACATGGTGGCCGCAGACACGATGGAAGACTTCCAGAAAGACTTGGACCAAGGCAAAGTGAGTTACCAAACTGACGCTGACATTACCCCGCCTTCCTCAGCAGAGGAAACAATCAATGACACATTTGTTTTGCTTGATAGATTGTTCAGATCCCATTCTGTGGTCAAATCGAGTGCGAGGACTGGATCAAGAAAATCACCACCAGGTACGTCCCTCCTAACGGACGAGATATTTGGAATGGAAGTTGCCCAAATTTTTACATCAGCTATTTGGAAGACCATTTCAGCAGTTTAACTTTTTTTCTCTTAACAGGAACATGTTAACCACAGTAACAATGTGCTTTTTCCCTCCTGTAGGGACCAGGATCTGGAGCCTGGAGCTCCATCTATGGGAGCCAAGAGTCTCTGCATCCCCTTTTCCCCACTGAAGACCCTGCAGCCTGGTCAGATGTGTGTCAGCGGCAAGGAGCCTGCACAGTATTACACTCTGTTTGGACGCAGTTATTAAAGACCTGCCTTCTGAGACATCATTGTCTGATTCCTAATCTTATGTAGGTGTTTAAGATAAAAAGGTGACTGACTTGTGGGCTCCAGTAGGAACTTTTTATTTTATTTTATTTTTTATGTTGGCACTATTGTATAATGATTGAAATGAATTTACTAGAGATATCTAAACTTTGAATTATTTTACGGTCCGTTATCTGCCCTTAAATAGCAGATTTTGCTCCAAATGCAGTTTGTCTCTGCCTAAACAGAAATGGTAATTTCTAATATCTATCGTAAATATATTAGCTTTGTTTTTTTTGTTATATATATAAATATATAAATAAGGTGAGTTTAGGCTTTTTATATATCTGGAAAACACTACTAAAGGATTTTTCTAATATTTCCTGTATTAGTTACTGTGGGACAGTACTGTTTGCCTGCCACTATTTCTCTCACATGGAGCTGAACTGCCTCACAAACTGGATGCTCAGGCTTGCAATGGGATTGTAACAGTTACATTTTGTGTTTGTCTGGTTTACATTATGTGGTTTATAATGCTCTCCTGCATCTTCATAATGTATAACTGTAGTAAGGCACTTTTATAGTTGAGTCAGTAATGTAGCCTCCTGTCAAGAACTTTCCTGCCTGTGTATAATAAAACCGTTAACATGGCGAACTACAGCGTGTGCCGACGAGTTGGTATTTGAAAATGCTTTTGACTCCTGACATGTTCACATGAACTCCTCTGGTGATCCAGGATGGTCTGTAATTTTACAGAATTACTGCAAGTCATATCTGCACATTATAAAATGCAATTCATAGTTATTTAAAATGTTAACTTCTGCCTGCAGTTCCCCTTTTACATCACTTTAAACAATATAACTATGCAAATTCAGAATTTAGTTATTGTCTGGGGATAAATTTAATATTTCAGTGGGACGTGTTCTAGGAAAGAGTGGTCACAATCCAGAAATCAGTATTTTAAGTAAGTAAATTTTATTTATATAGCACCTTTTACAGGTCAGAAACCACAAAGTGCTTTACAGAATGTGACATAAAAACACAAAAGATAAAACAGATGGAAAGAAAACACACTATGACATAAGACAAAATAAAACTAAAAGCCAATCTGAACAAATGTTTTCTGCTGCTTTTTAAAAGAATCAAAGTCGGAGGCAACACATTCCACAGTCGAGGGGAGATTGTAAGGTTCATGTCAATTTATTTATATAGCACAAAAACAACAAAAGCTGACCAAAGTGCTTTACAGGCAAGTCAAATTAAAAAGTAATAAATAAATGTTTTCGTCTTATCGCAGACATTTATTTTGAAAATCTAAAACTGGAAGTGGTATCGTTTAAAACTTCCGTAGCTGATTTCCTTTTCCGGTCTGAGCTGTCAGTCTCGTAAAGGTGCCGTCCTGCCCTAAACGTTTTTTTTAGTTAAAAATGAGCGAGAAAGGCCTGTCGGACGAGGCAGCGGCAGCAGTTTGTAAAGATGGAAACCCTCTAACTAAGGTAACCTAAGTGTTTGTTTTAAATTGTGTTGAGATAAACACCAGACGGGAACAAAACTCAAAGAAAACCCAACTTCGACTTCTCCCGCAGGTCAACCTACAGTTCGTCCCTTATCGGACACATTCCTAAAACTGGCGAAAATATGTAAACGCATTTCTACCCAAACGGGACAATATTTATCTTAGTTTGATTTAGGCTAACTTTGCTAATAAGTGGCTAAACGTTAAAATCGTGCGTGAAGTCGTAGAGACTTGTCTTCTTACGCAGAGAGTTTGTGTTTGCTGGAGGAGGTTGCAGTTGAACCACAGCGGCTGTGCAGCAGGTTAACTGGGTTGGCTGGGAAACGAAATTACACATTTATTAAATTTATTTTAGCGTCTTTGCACATTTATTCGACTATCCAGCCAAATACAGACAAGTCCCTGCATGTGGAGAAAACAACACGGCAAAGGATGGAGACTTGTCTTTTGTGATGGAGGCACATGCAGCTGAGTGGAATAGCTACAATAAATTTAATCAATGTGTAATACCGTTTCCCAG